CGGATTCTCTTCTTGTGACATAGTTCTTGAACAACATGCCAGCCAGCGGGTTCTCAGGCACTGCCTTTGAGTGAGGGCTCTACAGAGCTGAGGCTTCTTCCTATGCAGAGGAAATGTCTATGTGGATTCACTTTGTGGACTGCTGAGATGAGCGTACAAGAGAGCAGCATAGCTTTATGGGAGTGTGGAGGCAGGAAAAATTCTCAATTAGTTTGAGCTTTAATCTCTTGAGGAAGAAAATAAGCCATTAGAAGTATCAGGTTCCTTCAGAATGTCTTGATTATTTTTAATGTCCCTCCTGTACCTTCCTGTTTAGATGTAACTATGCCTAATGATCCATTCCTTGTTTTGGCCAAATGTAATCCCAGTGTTTGTTAATAAACTCCCTGGATAATAAACTCTCCAAAAGGAGAATTTTATTGCCTGCCTAGAGAGCAGCAGTTGCAAAAATCTATCTGAACAGAGTGTGGGGTGTAATAGATCCTGCACAGAGACCAAGGGCATCAGGGAGGCGCAGTGAGGAGGGAGCTCTTTAGTATGCATGAAGCTTGCGAGCTCCCGAGACAACCAGCAAGGATTGAACCTGTGAGCAAAAATGTTTTGTGCAAAGACTGGTAAAATGATCAAAGCAAAGATTTCTTTGCTTGTCCTCATCACAAAAGGTGTTTAGAAACCTCTGCTAGAACTTGTGTACATGAATATACAGGGATATTACATCACGTTTACCGTGAGTGGCTGGTGTGCTGGCCAGGCTTAGTTGCTTGTCTGGCTGCCTTACACCACTTCAGAAGATGCAGGCATCCATCTTTCTGCAGGTCAAGCATGTCGGAAATTGGGCTGGTGGGTTTGGTCCACTGTGATGGAAACCATTGCTAGTTGAAAATGCCCTTCTTGAGTCTGTCAGATTCACTGGGTATATTTACAGAATGTTTTTTTTACACTAGTGGCTCCTAATTAAGTGTAAAGTTCCCAGGGAAAGCTGGCCGAGTCTTTGAGTAGAAGCCTTTTTTTAATTTCTAATGAAATTCTAATTTCCAAAGAAAACCAAGTTATCTAGTGTAAGCCAGACGTCTAATTTGTTAGTTCTTCCAACTGGCTGTGTCCAAAAGTGAGATTCAGAATTTGCAGAATTAAAATCTTGGCCCTTTCATGCAGCACCACATATTAGTCAGAGCAGAAGGGATAAAAATATTGCTAGCATATAGTGTCTCCTGTGTGCTTTTATGTGTTTTCTGTAATAATTTTCAGCTTAAGTTCATCAGAAATAATTTTATACTTGGCTTCCCTGATTTTTTTTAATCAGTATTTATCATGTAAAGCTGTAGCCATGGACCTCTTGGACACTTTGAGCAGGAAGCACTCGTAAGTGGTAAACAATCTGATTGCTCATGAGTACATATCCATATCTGTGTATGTTTGTTTTCCTAAGTTGTAATTATCAGGCATACTCATAAATTGTTCTGCTTCTTACCTCCTCTTGCCTCAGTAATCTTTTCCCTATATTTTTCATGTCTCCAGAGAACTCTATTTTTAATACTTAATTTAAAGAAAAACTCTTGGGTATTATAATGTGTATTCTGATTAGTACACCTAATTGCAGAGAGTACATTACTTTAAAAGAAAATGAACAAGGCCATATTTTTTTTCAGCTCAGTTTCATTTGCATGCTTTTTTTGAGTACAGCCAGTGAAAATGTAGTACCTGATATTTGGACCTAAGTGGAAAATTGGTTTTATCTTCAAGTATAGTCTATTTGCATTCACAAATGGAAGCATAAATGGGGAGCTTTAGTATAAAGACAGGTTTTAAAAAATTCATTTGTCCTATTGCTAAATATACTATAGGCTGCATGAAATAGCTGTAATGAATTGAACTGGAAAAACAGATATTTTATTTGCTTATCTAGGTAGTCAGATGTTAAATTCATTTGCCTAATTTGCTAATGGCTTAACAATGTTTAAAATAACCAACTTCGATATTTGAAAGGATTTTTTTTTCCTAACATATTGCTAATCTTTATTTTATGTTTTATATATATATATTGTCAGGTATATTAATATAAGCTACCTTCCTATTAATCCTCTTCTGTGTTGCTGACTGCAGGGTTGAATTATTAAAACTAAATGCATCCTGTTGAAGAGTATTCATAGGAGAAAAGAAGGTGACCCAGTGACAGATATCCAGGAAATCTGGCACCAAAAAAAAAACCAAACAAACAAACAAAAAAAAAACCTTTTGAACAGCTTTGTTACTTACCAGATACAATTTATTTTTCCATTGCACTTTAGGACCCACTTACATTTTCTGCTCTAAAGTGTCACAGTTGGCTTCATGGTAATTGTTGATAGTGAAAAACACGTGTCTGTTGGGTTAGAGACACAGGGGGCAGCTGGGCATGCACAGAAGCTGTGACATCCCATTGGATTTGCTTCCCTGTGTGCAGGGAGCTTAAGTGCACTGACCTTCCTGTTGCTCAGTCAGGCCCTGGCTCTGCAAATAGGTCATGGAACACAGATCTCTACCTTTGTGGTACTCTTGACTGGCAAATTTTCATGAGCTCGAGCAAGTGATGGGGATTTTTGCACTAAGGCTGGAGTCTGTACGTGAGAGCTGTGTGGGTAATAGAGGGAATACTGGGAGGAAACCATGGGAGACTTACCTAAATGATTCTTATTTAAAACAGTAGATTCTCAGAAGTGTGGCTAAAGCAGTGCATCTAAATATTTTCCATCTAAATTTGTATTAAATCAATTTTATGTCTAAAGCAGTTACCCAGATCTGGCACAGACTGTAGTGACTTGTTGCATGTTCTGCGGATGCTTTATCGGGTTCCTAGAGGGAGACTGGCAAGGATGTTATTTCTAATTAAAACCTAAGGGCCTTGCTGTTTCTTTTCTCTCTTTTGAAAATGGGAAGGAAAATCATTTCCTTGCCCCTGCTGGGTGATGAACTATTTTGTTTGAAATATGTTCGCTCTGTAGGAGAGATCTCGCTGCTGCCCTCAGAAGAACTGAGCATAGTAGGGAGGGCAGTACCTCCTGCAGGCTGAATCCTGGCTTGCATTTGGGTTTCCATGCATCTTTTCTCAGGGAAGATCTTCACAAACAAACAGGCATTTGGCAGAGCTTGTATAGCATTTGCCTAACATAGTTTTTGTCTAACAGCTACTGAGATGCATTATTTTTTTCCCGACTTCCCCCCAAATTGCCTACCTCTGGAGTTGTCAAGGAATATGTATTGTGTTTTCTCTTCATATCTTATACTCATCCAAACCTTTCTGCTGCTTGGAGATTATATTTCTGTGTGGATAGGGGAATGTTCACAAGCACTTCAGGTTGTATAAGCTGTCACTGCCACCAACAGATGTAGCTCCCGTCATTGTGCCCAGCAGAATATTTCTCTGGCTTCCTCCCTTGTGCCAAAAAAGTGTTTGAGCAGCTTGCAGTAGGCTGGTTCAGGGAACTGATCCAATGAAAGAATAAATTCAGCACAAAAAGCTGATTTTTCAGCTGGATCAGCTCTGTGATTTGGAGGGAGCCAAACCAGGGAGCTCCCTGAATTGGTGAGGTGCTGGGGAAGGAGCTCAGCTGCCTCTTCCAATACTTGCTTGTGCTGCTTGCAGTGTGTCTGGAAGTGTAACATAACATTGTATTTGCATCTGCTGCTAGAATACATCCTGTTGCAGCATGTCTAAAGCAATTCTAGACTCTTAGGTGTGCTCTAGAGATGTTATTTGGATCTACATCCTGTTGCCAAATGCTTTGCCAACATAAAATGATTTTAAGGACATTTAGCTGATTAGGTCTCCCCCTTTTTCCTCATAATAGCACACAGGTCGTCCATATCATGGACGTTCATATAATGACCAGGTTAGTCTTGTAAGATATCATACATTATACGCATGCTGCACACCCCTCACTCTGTCTCTCCAAAAGCTGTTGAGGCTGAGAGAGGATTCTTCATCGTTTCAGGTCTAAGCAAGGAGCACTGTTTTGATGGGGAGCCTGAATTCAGGCCGTTTGATAATAAAAGTCAAAAAATACCAATACATCTAGATTATCTAATTTTCATATGGGCACAGAAGGCACCTGCTAATTGTGGCAGCTGCCTGGCTAGGCCAGATGTGCTTGTGTTGCTTGTTGTTCTGCATGTTCGTGACCCAGAGCTCATCTATATCTGCCCTACTGCTTCCTTGGGTTGTGTTGTAAAGATGTTAACATCTGTGTCACAGCATCCCTTCCGCACTGCAGTGACCACTGTGGTTTCCTCTAGGTTAACAATAAGTAGTTCCTAAAAATAAGCATTCAAGAATATTTGCAGTTCACAGCGATAACACTCATCCTTTTTTTTTTTTTTTTTAGATGGTTTCTTAAGTGCTTAGGGTCACGGAGCAATGAGGGCTGGCCCTCTGGAGGAGGAGGGTGAGTTGGGAGCTGAGCCAGGAACCAGGCAAGCACGAGCAGCGACCTCCTTAACAAGGAATTAGGACACAGAGTGACAAGTTCCAGTCAGGATCAGGGTCAGAGACGGTGGTCAGGATCAGGCACAGTCCAGGGATCGTCCAGCAAGTCCATAGGGTTGCAGCAGGGCTGAGGCCAAGCCAGGCCGCTGAGCAGGGGCTGCAGGGTCAGCCCAGCAGAGCCGGAGCTGGGGCTGTGCGGAGGCAAGACAGGCTCTTGCTTTTAGCTCTGTGCACAGCAGCTCTTACCAGTGCTGGAGCTGACCTCAGACTCAGCCAGCTAAAGTCCAGCTTAACAAACTAAACTCCTAGAAAATGAATGTACTTTAGACTCCAACACTTAGTGTTAATGCTAGCATGCCTTAACTGAGGTTGTCTAATTTCCCATTCTTCATATCATCTGAACTGTGGTGTTTACATATTGTCCTATTTCATTTGTTTTGCAGCTGATCATACTGGAGTTGCTTCAACACCCTTTGTTCAACAAATATTAATTGCCCTGTATAGCGTTTGAATGTATCAATGTATTTCTATTTCATAGGAAGCAAGAACAGAGTCTATTGCCAGACCTTTGGAAATAAACGAGGCTGAGAAGATGATGAAAATTGCCATCGACAATATTCTGGTAAATAAATTGCTGCTTATTTATTTGCAAAACCTTCATTCCTCTCCTGCAAGAAGAATTAAATTTGTTTTAGTGACAGTCTATGGTTGAGCATGGCATAGCACACGTCCCCTTCAAAGGCCTGGGCCAAGCACCTGGTTAGTTAACAGGATGTGTTGAACTTTGGGTAATGCCACTTTTGGTGTTCAGGTAACATCAAAGTGCAAACACAAGTTCATCAGTGTGGTGTTATGTCTGTGATAACTCGTCTGCCATGACAATACAATCATTGATGTTCCTTTTGGTTTCCTTAGGAAAAGTATTGTGTTCAAAGAGGACAAACCTGTTAGTTGAAACTAATAGCTGTTGGCAGAGTGAGAAGTGCCTGCACAGTGATGATTCTGAGCTGCCGGCTAGAAATCACAGCCTGCAGCAGAAAGAGTTAAAAAAGTATGTTAGCAGCAGGCCCTAGAAGAATTTAAGACCAAATCTGCTGTCATAGAATCATAGAATTGTTAAGGTTGGAAGGGACCTCTAGATGTCATCTAGTCCAACCCCCCTGCACACGCAGGGTCACCTAGAGCACGTGGCACAGGACTGCGTCCAAGCGCGTTTGGAAGATCTCCAGAGAAGGAGACTCCACAACCTCTCTGGGCAGCCTGTTCCAGGGCTCTGTCACCCTCACTGTCAATAAATTTTTTCCTTAAGTTCCTGTGAAACTTCTGATGCTTTAGTTTGTAGCTGTTTCCTCTAGTTCTGTCGGTGGCCACCACTGAAAAGAGGCTGGCCTCTTCCTCCCTGCTCCCTCCCCTTAAGGTATTTCTATACACTGATCGGGTCCCCTCTCAGCCATCTCCAGGTTCAACAGGCCCAGCTCCCTCAGCCTCTCCTCATAGGGCAGATGTTCCAGGCCCCCGATCATCCTTGTAGCCCTGTGCTGGACTCTCTCCATGTCCCTCTTGTACTGTGAGGCCCAGAACTGGACACAGTACTCCACAGCTGCTCTCTAGAAGGTCAGTCCCCAGCCTGTACTGGTGTCTGGGGTTATTCCTCCGCAGGTGCAGGACCTTGCACTTGGCCTTGTTGAATTGCATGAGGTTTCTCACCACCCAGTTGTCCAGCCTGTTCAGGTCCCTCTGGATGGCAGCCTGTCAGACTGTTGCACTGTAGAAATGTGTTGGTTCAACATGCAGAAACATTCCCTCAGCTGATGTGGCTTTGCTGATAAACTTGTGGTAATTCTGTTGCTAGAGCTGCATCAGAGAGTTGTGCTTGGCCTCACTTGCTTTAGGGAGAAAAAAGAATGTGATTAAAACAGTGAGGATTTTTCTGCTATCTCAGGTAGGGGCTCAAAAGTAGCACCAGGAATTCTAGGAAAGATGAAAGTTGCCTAAATCAACACAGACATCTGTGATCCACCTACATGTTCTCAGTGACTTCAACTCACTGCCTTAGCTCTATAGATTTGTTAACTCAGAATGTGCTGGTAGCTCTGGAGGTATCAAGTTGGACTCTGGGGGTGGGAGAGCTGAAGTGGTCAAGAGATGAGAATTGTGCTTGTTTAGTGCAGCACTGGTCCAGGAGTATTTAGTTTTTAGTTTCAGTTCCAGAGGTCCCTTGGTTTGTTCCAGTGTTGGGAACATTGTCCTTGCTCCAGTTCTTGGCTTCTGTATCTGAACTGTTAGATGCCCCACCAGCTGCTGTGCAAATATGGTGGCTAGTCACCATTAAGTAATTTAAATTATTTAACTGCAAACTGTACCCAGTCCAATTGTATAATTACACAGAACAGAGTTCCAAATTTAAATAGTCAATGCCTAATCAATAGATACTCCAAGTGATCTTTCCTTACATTTCTGCTATGACTTGCAGTCTATATGGGTTCCAAATGTTGTTAATTTGCATTGATATTCTGGGCAGTAGTGCTAATAAACTAGCATCAGCATATTAGAGCAATTGGTTTCCTGGGAAATATCAATAACACACACCTCAGCTGGTTTAGTTCTGGACCAGTTAATGAAATGAGCCATTATAGCTGAACTGCAAGTAACAATGCTGGAATTTCAGAAAGCAAGTAGTTGTGCATGTTTCTAGAGCCCAAGTACATTTATCATGTACCCGGCTTGTTTTAAGAAGCTGGAATATTTCCACTTTGCTTCTGCTTTCAGCAGCATCTGTTGTAATGTTGGGGATGCTTCCTAGCTTTTGAAGAGATGGATACAACAGGACTCGGAAGAGGACAAAGATATAGGATAGAATAAGTTCTTTAAAAGTGGTGTTTGTCAGGAAGGAGGAAAATGTTGATGGAAGCCTAAAAAAACAATCATTAAAATAGTGCCAGGGCACTCTCAGCTGTGTTTGTTCAGGCCTGACCTGTCCATTTTGTAGGTTACCTTAATGCCTCTCAAGTGCAAAAGCTCTGCCTGGGCTTCTGCTGAGAACAGGGAGAGAAATCTTGCAGCCCAGGAAGCAGGAAGAGGAGCCCCTTTTCAGTCCACCATCCTCTAGATACTTGTAACAGAGGGACTGTTCGCCAGCACTCTCAGCTTGACTGAGAGAGCCAGTGCAAGACTGGGCAGCAGGAAGCAAGGTTGGATTGGTATGTACTCATGTTGGAGAGCGCAGGACAAATCTTAAACACTGCTGATATCTAATGATTCTGATACTCTTCAATGTTTCCAATGTTTAACCACCAAACAAAGAACAGTCCAGATCGAACCAGAGGTCCAGCCAGTGTTAGCCATGCCCCAAAGAGCATTTATATATATATAAACTTTTGGTTACCTGAGTTCAGTTTATGCTCTTGCTCATTGTTCTGAAGTTGATTGATCGCATGTGATGTGAGATGATGTGGAATCTGGTCCAACATCTGAAAGATGGTTCAAATTACACCAGTGGAAGCCATGGTTCACTGCTCTTCTCTCATAGGAACAAGTCCAAAAGACTAAGGACATGCTGAATAATGTGGCTTTGGATGAAGCTAATTTGGAAGCCAGGATTGAAAAACGGAAATTGGAACTGGAAATAAGCCAGAAGAGGCTACAGACTCTGCAAAGTGTTCGGTAAATGTTATGAGATGATCATCTAATGTATAAATGATTGTTAACATAAATGGGTATTAAGAATACTGTGCATTCTTAATGCTTACTGCAGTGAAAAGTGAAGTCTGTAATGAGTCAGAGTTGATGGCCTATGCAAGAGAGATTTTCTTCTCTACAGATGCCCAGTGTGGATTGCAGTGGTTCATTTTTCAGTTACTATGTATTTGAAACAAGCAATATAAGGTTGTTAAGGAGGCCAGAATATTGTTTGGAGTTTTCTACTAGTCATTGCTTGAACTGTGCATAGTAGTCAGGTGGAAGGCCTGGCTCTTCTTTAAGATACTTAAGTGTAAATGTTGCCAGATACCTGAAAATGACAACTGAGTGGTGCAGCTGTGCCCTTGTTACTAGAGGCTTCTAGCATTCCCAGCCTCAGTAAGAGAAAGCCATTTAGCATCCTGTGTTGATCAGTTCCTCTAGGCAGTGAATGCAGGCTAACATAAAATGCAGATGTTCAGGAGCACAACTGGAGCCAATTTCATGCCCCTAGCTAACTAGTGTGCTTATATTGTCTACAAGATCATTTTGAGACATCTTACAAGGAACAAATAAGAGAAATACTAGAAAAATGAACAGTCTTTGAATTAATTTAGTTGTATTTTTGTCAGTAACACTTTGGGAGAAGTCTGTTGCATAGGTGTAAAGCATAAAACAGCAGTAGTGTTCTTTAGGGCCTAATAGTTGGTTTTGTGGCAAAGAACATTATGGCTTATGGCTTATTGTCAAGTCTGGTTATACAGCACAGTTTTGTTGCAAAAATAAATCTCCAAACAAGCTGACTTACAAGCTGTACTACAAGCTAGTTCTTTTAAGGCATGGAGTAGCAGAATGATTGACCTCTCTCCTTAAATTTATCTGCTGAAATGCTGCCCCTCTGCCTGTCTGGAAAAGCTTTGTAGCAGATACACAGTTACCCTTCTTCACTGTAACTAATTTTTGTAGAATAGGTTAATATTTCTTGTCTAATGCTTTTAATCTCTGAAGTAGTATAGAATCCTGAAAATAAAGGCTCCTTTTAGATTGGTTTAGCAGAAGTGGAAAGGCAACTTTAAAAACAAAAATGCATTTCGGAATTCAGTGTCTACAGGTCAACATCTCTCTGAGCACTTTATCCTTGTTCCCTCTAGTCCTGCTTTTATGGATGAATATGAGAAGATTGAGGAGGAACTGCAGAAACAATACAGCTCTTACCTAGAAAAATTCCATAATCTGTCCTATATGGAGCAACTCCTAGATGATCACCGTAGAACAGAGCAAGAGATGTTTGAGGTAAGACAGCTCAGAACTCCCCAATGGCACTATAGTTTAAATACATCTACTTAAAGAAGCCAGCTTCCAGTACATACACTGTGGCTTTCACCTTGTAAAGGAAAATTTTCTAGCACCCCCTTTACTAAAGGAACATGTTACTAATTGAAGATCCAACTCTGAGTGGCTATTTTCTGCCATACAGTTTAAGTTTGACTGCTGTTAGATAGCCCTAACATGGCTATTGAAAATAGACCAGCATAAAACTCCTAAAATTCAATGCTGGGCTTTGAAAACAATTTTTTTTTCCTATTTCTAACTTTCCCTGTTTCATTCTGTACCTCTGTCTCTATTCCCAAAGGATGCTTTCAATACTCCTAATCTTGAAGGGCCACACACTGTGTGTATGCTAAGAGTTATCTAATAACTTTTTTTTATCGCCTCATGACAGCTCATGTGTGAGAGTTTCTTAGCACGAGGTTCTTCAATTTCCTCAGATTGCCCTTTCCTGTGAAAACATAGCAAAGAGTATCAATGAAAAGATCAGATATGCTGAAATCCTCTCTAACTCAAGCTTCGCTCTTTGGCAGAGATTCTGTTTTCTCTTGACTTTTTGAATTGTATCAATTCAGTGCGATTATCTCTTTCTTTTCTATCTTGCTGGACGATCTGCATCTCTGTCTCTTTCGCTCCCTCCTTTCCCTCGGGTGTTTACTGCACTGCAGTACATTCAGGCAACCCTCCTTTCAGCTTTCTGTAGCTTTGTGTTTTACTGATACTACTGGTTTTCCATCTTCCTTTCAGTCATTACACCATACATATCCTGTTCTCAGGATATTTTGGTGAGTGATGTTTCCTTGGACTTTTATTATTAACTGGTGTGTGTTCTATACCTTAACTTAGCTAGTGCTTCCTTTGTCTGGGTCTTCCCGTCTTGCGTAGGACGACCATATTTTATTTTGTTTGCACAACTTGTTCTTAGCAGCAATATCAGAGGGCTTGAAATAATATTCCTTGTATCCATCCTATAAATGTGTATTTTGCTTTTCCTATGTCTATATGTGCCTATTGATGGGAAGAAAAAAAATAATTAGTCCCGTGTTTATTTACATTCCTCCTTTAACATGATCTGTTTAGTTGCAGTGAAACGTCGTGACCTGAGTTTATGCTGAAGATAAAGTAACTTTTGTAGTCCCTCTGCTCCTGCAAACTGCATATCCTATATCTGTGACATGATGTGTTTTCTGAAAGCCTTGTCACTCTGTAGAACTGGTTGCTCCAAGAAGCCTCCCACGTTGAGTGTCGCCTACAATGTGCAGCGCGACAGGCAGGGGTTCGTAGCCAGATTTCAGTCAGCTCTGCAGACATGGGGGAGACAGGAATGGTTTGTGTCCTCTTTCTGACCTAGGAAAGGCATGTTGTAATCTGGTAAGAAGGCTCAAGTATTTTGCTTCATTGTTTGCTTGGGAGCAGTGTACCCTGTATTTTAAAAGATACCATGGGTTTTGAAAAACTAATGTAAGACTGAAAAGTCCACCCAGGTATTTGACAACTTTTTAATCATGAAAACAATTTCCCATTAACATCCCTCTTTATTAGCACTATCTCTATGAACACTACTTCACATATTTTTAATCTGTAGTCAGCTTCATATTTTAATGTCATTTTTTTTGCATTGTTCTCTTTCTTGTCTGTAACTTTGGCAAAAAAAAAAAAAAAACGGGAAAAAAAAGAAAGGCCTTTCAAAAAGCCTTTCTTATTCAGGAATGCAGCTGAGCTTAGAATATGGAGAACACTTTTTATTTTCCTTTTTTTTTCCTTCTCTCTGTCAGACGCATAAAGAATATGCCCCTATACTGTCTTTTAATTTATCAGGCTAAGCAGATGGCAATAGTTTAGCATCATGCAAAATTAAGGAATATAAAATCTTGTGACAAAAAGGCATGTTTCTCCCACTTGCTGCAGTCACTGGCCACATGCAGTATGTGTTACTAGGCATCAGAACTGGGGCAGATCTTTAACAGAGATGTGTTTTATGCTAAATTGCCATCAGGTTGTCTGCATTTGGCGTATCTCCTTACAGTGTCTCTGTACTTGTGTGTCTCTAACTATGGGGATACTCCCATGATCAGGGTGACTGTACTTAAACTTTCTGCAGAATACACAGTGCTGACTTAAAGCATAAAATCTAGTTCTGTAGTTTGAATTTAACCCTGAATAGATCTAGAGGTTATTTCATTTCCTGTATATATTAGGGCCTGTTAAGTGTTTTCACTAGGAAGTAGTTGATGGGAATAGCACTTTTGGCAATCTTCTGTGTCCTGACCATCCTGTGTTTTTGTGTGTGGATTCAGCAGTAATTCAAGGGCCTTGTGTGAATTTAAAAAGAGGTGCTGGAGAGGGTTACATCTGATAGTCGTTCTCTGGGTTGGGTTAAAGAAGCATAGGGATCAAGATCCAAAAATGTGAATGTGTGAAAGTATTACTAGAATATTCAAAGGATGAGAGGCAAACAGTCTTTTTATGGGGAACAGTACTGTGTCTCAAGTAGCCATGACTACTTGTCTGTAGAGACTTTTTAGGTAGAAGAAGCAGCAATGTCTATTTTGCAGGCAGCTTTTCAGATGTCCTGGAGTCCAAAGTGTTATTTGAAGTCATCATGAGATGTAAATGCTCAAAGCCAGGCTCTAAAACTTCAATAAATGAAGGAGGATGAAGAATCTGAGGCTGAACTAAACCAAGAGACTCACTGGTGCACTCCTATTTCCAAAATATAGGAAATGGAAGGAGGTTGTGTGTGGTTTTTTTCTTGTTTTAATTGAAAAAGACAGGCAGTGTAGTGTTTAATCCGCTTCAGATTAGTTTCCTGCCATCCAGAAACATTAATGCATCTCTCTCACTACTTGCATCAGTCTTGATCTGCATTCCAGGTAGTATTTCATCACCTTTGGCTATTTCTTGCTGAATCAAAATTGGGGGCAGCCTGTTGTGTGCTTGGGAAAAAAGCAGTTTGCTCCGAAATTAGCACAATTGCACACTGAGAGGTTGAAGCTGATGGTGCATGTTGTTCTGAGCTTTATCATCCCATTACCCTTTTTAGAAACAACAAGAGGGAAAATGGCTGGGATAATTGCATTTAGTCTATTACAATACCCATTCTCTCCAACTGTCAAAATTACTAAAAATTACATGGATTTTTTTCAATCCTGATTTGTCTTTTGTTCCACCAAACAAATCTTAATTACCTTTTGTGGAAGAAGGGAGAGTCAATTCTATTATCATCTCTGTGTATTTTGTTAAATAGCTTCCTAGGAAAAGGAACTCCACTCCGATTAGATGTATCCAGCACCCTGTGTAACGCTCAGTAGCAGGGACTGATTCTTCAACCCCTTTTCTTAACTAGATGAATGTTTTTAGGATTAATTTTTGCTCTGATCAGGATACTATTGCAGAATAATGAGACTAATCTCTAGTGCACTTGCACTCAAAGCCGTTTTGGTACCACGTTGACGTTGCACAGCTAATGACATTGGCTAGAGTGCATTTCCTAATTAGAAAAGTGATTTAAAGATTGTACCCAAGTACACAATTTTAATTAAGTGACTACAGCCTTTCCAAATCACGCAGTCCTTGTTGCTTGACTTTTTGTTGCTGTTGTTTGCTCTTTTATTTCATAGGTGTACAGTTGTAGAGAGAGGCTCTCTGTCCCATTTTGTGGTGGTTTTGAGCTCCCTGTTCCTTTTGCCACACGCTATCTGTAACAACAGTGAGTAATATCTGGAAAGCAATCGACAGTGGTCTCCTGCTAGGTACTGGACTGAGAAATATCCCTGAGAGTTGAAAAGAACTTAAAAGCTTGGCCTTGAGTCTGAACTGAATGTAAGAACCAAATAGCTACTTGATGGTGAAACTGTTCCCTGCAAAGTACCTGCCTGTTTGCTGTGAAAGCCCCTTGAAATGTATGAAAAATACAAAATTATGTATCCGTTTCTCAACTCTGATATATGGACATGTCAGAAGACCCCATGTAAACTCTTCTCTGAGTAGGATTTTTCACATACGGTGACAGACTGATGTGCACCTACTGGATCAGAGGAGTTTAAATGAGGATATTTTGCCTTTGCAGTTTGCATAGCCTTTTTTCCATAGCTTTTTTTCTTTCCATATTCAGTCAGCTCTTTTATTCTGTTGCTGTTCTCTTGTGCTGTTTCTGGGATCCATGCCTTTGCATTTCTGTGTGCTAGCAGGAGTTTGTATGTGCCAGTTCTCAAAGATTTGTACTTACAGACTATTTTTACATACTAGAAAATTACATTTTGTTATTTTTTTTTCTATTTTTAAAGTGAAATTGTTTCTGATATTTAGATGTTAAAGGTATTAGAATTTTGCTCTAAAAATCAAAGTTTCAGGGCTTTTCAGACTTGGAAGCCGAATTTTTCTGTGAACTCTAATGAATGTCTGTACTTAAAAGGACAGCACAAATAGTACAATTCAGAAAGGTGTTTCTGAAACCAGCTTGCATAATGCCTGACTAACTCAGCAATATATTTTACCACTTGCTAGCCTTTTCTCTGGACAGAATACGCTAATTTTCTCTGGCACTTTTCAGAGACCATCCCAAACGTGCTTTCTTCTTCAGCTACTTCCTACTACAATACTGCATCATCAAACATCCTGTTAAAATAGCTGTTATGATGATGCTGTGAATTCTCCACTAATTCTCCACTGGTACTAAGTGTGCTTGAGGACATAGGAGGGAGAGTGCTCAAAGACCACTTGCTCCTTATCTTCAGCTTCAGACTGCCTAAAATGTTTTTCTTTTCATCACTCTGGTATTTGTAAGCAGTCCATCATGATAAAAAATAAGCAAGGAAAAGCCAGACGGAGTATACTGTGACTTTTCCTACCCTGCACACCAAGTATCACCTCCCCTTCGTTAACCTCATTTTCTCATTAGAGCTCTGTAGCTGGAGCAGATGCTTTATTTTGCATATGTACATAATGGGGTTTCCAAGTTCTGC